TATTAATTATATTTACATTGTTCTTACATCAATCATGTTTATACCGCTCTAGCATTAAATCATGCATTTCATCTAAATCACCATGTCATATTTTAACAAGACGCACGAATCTAACATCGCAATTGTATTAAAGATATAAAAAAGCTTGCTAACAATATGTCATTTTTTTTCACCAAACGAACACTAATCATCCTTTAAAACCAATTGTTTAGGGATCTCTTTGGTTATGTTGAAGTGCTATCAGCATTTATGTTAATGCCCAATAAGCCTGCAAATTTTGAGAATAAACAAATGCAACCGTGTTTGAGAACGAAAACAAATTATAAGAAAGAAAAAAATTATGACTACCTAAACACCTATATTTATATAAGATCGCATGTAAAATTCACCATTAAGACACATCAAATCAAGTAATAAGGCAACATAATCACAATTAATTATTATTATTATTATTTATTGACACAAGTGGCTTAAAATTTGAAAAGCCACCCCGATGTGTATGCTATAAGAAGAAATGCAGATGTCTAGAATTTTTTATTCAAATTTTTTATTCACGTGTGGTTTAGTGTATATAATACTTCTTTTAGACCTAATGAAATGTGTCAAGACTTTAGGCTTTTACCTCGAATCTAATGAGCCTGGCCCCACTCCATCAGAGATTATGGCAGGTGATCTTCTTTTGAGAAAGTCAAGTGACATGTTCATCTTGCTCACATGTCGTGCATGTGGTTATCTTGCTAACTAGTTCTGATTTATGACTTTTTACGTGTACCATGTTACTTCAGCAAATTGGGTCGAGATTATCAAAGTTCGTTGGTTTTGGGTTATAGTGTTCATATGGTCCACATCTCCTGAAGCACAAAACTTATAAGGGCAAACTGGTTAAAGAGAAATAAGACAATCCACAACTCCTAAAACACGAAATCTGTAAGGGCGAATGGTTGAAGAAGTGATATTATCGAGAGACTGTTAAATTGTAATTCATAGTGTCGAATAACGCATGTGTCAAATTAGATTTGATTTAGTTTGATTTGATTTGATTTGATTTAGTTCCAAAATATGTATTTTGAGCTTTTATAGTTTTAGGTTTTTGACTTAAGGAGCAAGCTAACCTAAACTTATAAATAGAGGGAGTAACCTTTATTTTGTAATCAATCAAGTTGTATTCACAGAATTTGCAGTTGCAAATGAATAAAAAGTTTTTTACAGTTTATGGACAGAGAGAAACTATATAGAAAAATCAGTGTCTTCTTTCTTTCTTTCATATTTTTCATTGTCATTGTGTGGTGATAACAATTGTTTATCAAAATTGATAGAAATTTATCATAGATTTTAGTGGTTTTTCAACAAAGGCGTTTCCATTCACTTTGTTTTAGCATGTCGAGGTTAAATCAATCACACACATAGGATTGAAAATGATTCAGAATTCCAATCAAATGGTTATATTTGAATGTTGTTAGTATTCTTCATCAAAGAATTCGGATTAAATCAAATTTCTTAATAGCGACACTCAATTTGAACCCCTGATTGTTCACGTACTTGAAAGCTAGACCATTGATCTTATAGCAAAATATGATGAGGGTTGGCAAAAAAAACTAAATAGATTTTACTTTTGCTTCTCTATTCAAGAAAAATTGTCAAACATCTTCATAATTTCTACTTTGCTCAACTTTCATTTAGTTCATTTTGTCATCCTTGTAAGCAATTCGATAACTTCCTACAACACTCTCACTACAAATATCGTCTCCTTTTTTATCTTCATTCTATTTTTCTTATTCAATATGATTTTATTTGAGAAGGGTGACGAACGCGGGAACAAAGTTGAATCCAAAAATTGCAAACATAAATTCCGTTTGTGAGATGTATGTATAAAAAAATACAACACGAGTTGATGATAATGTCAATTTAGATGTAGTGGAAAGAGATATCTCTTTGGAAGCACCAATTCTAATAGTGATAGTAATAGCTCAGATGATAACAATCCTCTTACACGTCCTCACCCATAAAGAAGACACCACCAATCATTTCCCATAACGAGAAATATACCAATAACAATCCTCTTACAGGTCTTCGCCCATGAAAGAAACATTACTAATCATTTTTCATAATGATTGACCAGAGGAAATAATCACGAACTATCTATAAATAAAGGTTCAACAATCTTAGTGTATACATATCTTATACTCCATACCTAACATATATCATACACCTCAAGTCCTTGTTTTCAAAGGGTTTGTAAACTTGTAACAAAAACATGGCCTAGTCTCTTAAATTACAAAGTTCAAAGGAATTATTTGCAATAAAATTAAAATATGAATCGAAGCTGCGGAATCCATGGCAAACCATCCATTTTGCAGATAGTAATGAGGCTGAAATGGTTTGTGTTGACTCTTGTAGGATTTTTGTTTATGCTTACCCATTAAATGTATTCATTGAAAGAATTTTAGCAGCTTTCTTTCTTATCGAATGATCTTGAGCTAAGAAAATTTAAAGTTTTTTTATTTAGTTTTAAACATACAACACAGTTATTAAATTTTTTAAGTAAATTTTTTGTCAATAGTTATAGTCTTGTTCGACATTGAGAATTAGTCTATCCAATTTATATTTATATAATATATTAAATTTAAAACCGCAGATTAAATATATTAGTTAACTATATTAGATAAAGATTAAATATATTAGTTATTCTATATTAGATATCACGAGTTCAATTTTATAATATTAATTAAAAAATTCATCTAACTATCTAAATAAAATGAGCACAACACTTACCTTAGAGAAGAAAAAAAAGAAGACAAACTCTTTGACATGGTACTACCGACTTTTCATTAAACAAATGTATTAGGTCTATAACATCCATTCATCAACATGTGAGGCCATACCTCCAACATGATACCAAAGTAGTTTCCTAGCCAACCTTCCTTTCTGATCAACTCAATCTTGAATCATACTTTTTAAGTATTAATGAATAAATCATAACTTTTTTTTTATACAAATTGTAGGTGAATTGAACCCAGGACACACTAGAGTGCGAACAAATTTCAAAACTTAAAAGGTGTTTAAAAAATATTTATTGATCACCCACTAAAAAATCCTTCCATCAATAATGAAAGTTGGACGTGTGATTTTTCAGAATTGTCTTGTTTAATTTTAAATAACAGGTCGGGTGGCAAGGGAGCTACCCTTTTTAATATTTGGTCAAAGTCATGGAATTAGTAGTTGAAGTTGAATAGAATCAGGAAGAAAGAAAAATTTGCATTTGCTGGAAAATATGGATGGGTGTTTGGTCCATTTAAAACATTATGAATGTTAACTATAGTTGTCAAACTCACATATAAATTCGTTTACGAGTCTATAAAACATAAATAAGTGGACTCGCATATAGAATTATTTTTTGATAAATTTAGAAAGATTCGCACAAACTCGTATAGACTCGTGAGTCTATAACGAATTTACGAGTCTATAAATATTTTTGATTTTTAAACAAAAAAATTAAAAAGGTCTAAATTCTCCAAAAGATTCTATTTTATTTAATAAAATCCTTTTTTGTTGTTGTGAGAATTAGGAAGTATCTCTCATAATCTTTTGTTTCAGTCAAATTTCTTCATTCTTTCATCAACGACGTGACTTTGTTCGGTCTCTTACTTTGTTTGTATTTATTATCATAAATCGATCCTTTATTGTGTAATATGTTTTATTTGGATGCTTCTCATGCATGTTCTCTTTTGTAAAGATAATGCACAATTATATATATATATATATATATATATATATATATATATATATATATATATATATATATATATATATATATATATATATATATATATATATATATATATATATATATATATATATATATATATATATATATATATATATATATATTCATTTTTAATTTTCCATAATTTAATACGAATTTGCAAGTCGAATCTGCGAGTTGAATCTACATACGCTTTACAAGTCTGAATAGACAACTTTAATTTTAACGAATCATCTTCAACATATATCATATCTATCCATCTCAACAACTACTAAACATGATAATTTAAGTTTCACAACAAGTATCAACCAACGTGTATTTCTCATCTATATTTTACTTCATGTATGTTTCAGAATTTGAAAACTACATAGCAATAAATATGTATGTTTCTCATCTATATTGTACTCCATGTACGGTCGATTTTAACAGCGTGTAAAACAAGTTTATCACATAAGGTCAAAAAATTTTAATAATTAAATTATAGCTAAATAAGACTGATAAAATATAGTCACTATTAAAACGTGATTTTATAGAGTTCTGTTAATTTCAAAACATCTATATGAGATCTCCAAAAACTTGATAAAACTCGTAATCATTTAATAAATAAGATAGAAAATTATATATATCTTGTGTGGGCTTTGATGATAATTGACAAACTGCTCACGGCCAGAGTCAGTATAATTGTATATATCCAAAGATTATATGGAATGAAACTAATAAGAGATCAAATCACACATAAATGCACCTATCACTTGCTAATTTCCAGCCATATATAGTTCCAACTGTTCAACTTCTACAAGTGGAGAAGAAGAAAGATGTTGATTGAGGGTCAAATAACAAACACAACTTTTAATCTTGACATAAATTAGCATGCAATTATTTTCATTAATCACAAACCCAAACTCAAATCGGCCTAAACTTCATTTTCCCTCTTCACAAACAATAATTTATAATGCAAGGAAAGGGACCCATTAATGGGATTCTGTTTGATACAGAATGAACCTTCACAACAGTTTCCAAACACAGAAGATCACAACCATTCATTTTCTTTTCCCTCTATTTGATTTTTTCGTAAACTCCAATGATTCCCATCTATATATAACCCTTCCACCCTGTGTCAGAATCTAACCAGTGATTGATTATATTCACTCTTCCTTAAAAACAAAAAGCTGAATCTCTGTTGATATATCAATCTTCCTTAATATATCAATCTATCAAATACTTAAATTTGTTCAGAATGAGCAAGCTTGGTTTTGTTGTTCTGCTCCTAACAAATATCTTACTACTTCAAGCCATGGCACATGAATCTGAGGCAGAGGCACCATTTCCTGAGATAAACATAAACCATTCGGAGCATAAAACTCAAAATGAAGTCCAGCTTCATGATCATGATATAGTCGAAGATCATAAAGTTTCTGGCGCTACTTCTGATTCAGCATCAGATGACAATGGAGAATCATATTCTAAAGTGGCTGAAGCTCCGAATATTCGACGGATGGGGAAGCATCATTCGACAGACAAGTCAGTGGCAGGTGGAGGTGTAATCATTGGTGGTCTTGTTACTGCCATTTTTGCAGCTGTTTTTAGCTATATTCGGGTTACCAGGAAAAGAGACAGAGACACTGGTTACTGATATTCTCTACTTCAACAACTTTCTTATTTTGATTTGTGTGTAGAAAGTACAAAATGGGCGATATATCAGACAGTTGAAACATAGATTTTTTTTTTCAATTGCAGATACAAATGATATAGACAGAAGAGTGAAAATTTAAATGTTGCTCGGTTCTTTCGGGTAGATGACAGTTTTAGACTTCAATGTTGTATATGTAGTGATTTCTCTATATGGTTATCTCTTTGTTAAGAGTATTATATAACATGATTTCATGCAATGTAAATAGAATGAAGTGCAAGTTTGAGCAAAACTGTTTATATGTTGTCTGCTACAAAAGAATTTTTTTCTCTCCTTTTTATGATGACAACCCAAAACTTAAGAAGCTCCAAGTTATGTTCGCAACTAAATGTAAATTGATAGGTTCCACTAAGAATGCGAACACTAAAAGTTAGAAGACTGAAAATCATAATTTTTATTAACAATCTGTTTTTAGCTGTCAGTGAAGCAGATGAAGAACCCATGTTTAATCTCATGGTTCTAACTAACAGACATTGCAGCAAGAGAGAACAAGTCAACAGCTAGCAAAATGATCAAATTCTCATCAATAGTTGTCATTACATGATTGGACATTATGCAAGACAGGTAACGATTCCAAAAAAAATTTACACAAAAACAACAACAATAACCAAACATTATCCCACTAAATGTGATAGGCTAATAGATCAAATTCCACCATAAGATTATGTCAAAATTTATGTTTCTATCCAATTTATTAATTTTGAAATCTTTCTTAATAATTTCTCATATAATTTTTCTATCTTTGTTTTTAATCTCTTGTTGTTTGACCCCGCTCAATCTGATTTACTCTTCTTATAACAAAATCTACAGATCTTCTTTCTACATGTTCAAATCATCTAAATCTATTTTCAACCATCTTTTCTACTGTATGTACTACCCTAACACACACTCTAATATAGTCATTTATAATCTTATATTGTCTAATCTTTCCACACATCCAACACAAGATCCTCATTCTATGACACTTACTTTAATCTTGTATAGATTTTTAACCGTCCAACATTCTATCTCATACAACATCGCAGATCTTATTGTTACTCGATAAAATTTTCCTTTAGCTTGAGCAGTACTTTTGTATCACATAAAACTTCTGAAGCACTTCTACCTTTCAGCCACCTAGCTTGAATTCGATGGTTTATATCCCTTTTATTTCTCCATTATTTTGTATTAAGGATCTAAAATATTTTAACTACGTGACTTGAAGGATAATATGATCACCAACTTTTCCTCTAGGTTAGATACATTCCTCCTTTTGCTAAACTTACATCCTATATACTATGTTTTACTCCTAGTTAGGCAAAAACCATGCATTTGTAAGACTCGTCTCCAACATATCATCATTTAAATTCTCTTTCGACTCTTAAAAACGGAAAGAACATACATCTTTAGTGAAAAAAAACATACGAAATTACACAAATGCGGAACAAAAATGACCAAGGACAAATGTGCAAGATTTTTCTTGAAATAGATAGATACACATACTCATTGTGTGTCAACTATGGATAGTAAGGTTGTTCATGGTATGGTTAAGTGAGAAAACTAAATCAAACCGTAGTAAAAATTTACTCAAACTGAACTGAACCGTTTCAATTTACTCAAAACCGAACTGAATCATAATCATTGGTTTGATATACCATTTCGAAATTCCGAACCATACCGAACAGTTAGAAGTTAATTTTTCCCAAACTAACCAAACATAATAATTAAGTTATTTTAACTTCAATTCGATTCAGTTTGACAGTTCGGTACATGGTTTTTTTTTAACAACCCTAATGGATTTATGAAAAAAAACTAGGAACCACTAAACTGCTAAACTATGACTCTATGCTATGCCATATAGAAATCAAGAAGCAGTTTATAATACACAGATTCTGTCATGCCAGACACAAATATATACAGCAAGTTTGTGGTCTACCAAAGCATACTGATATTCAATCTCGTCTCGTCTATCAGGCAGTGTTGTCAATGGCAGATGGCAGTCGATGGGGGAGATCCAAAATCCCGCCATACCATCTGCTTTACGGCGCCGTTATAGTGGATTATGGCAGAAAAACCTAGAATATCGACCAATATTTACCATTGCGGGGAGCCCAAAAACCACCAAATATATCCGCCATAGCGGCCATATCGCCGCTATTTGATAACACCGCTATCAGGAAAAAGATTTGTCCATATTGTAGTTTCAAATGATAGTACTTCCTTTCCCACGACACCCTAAGATGGACACTTGTGAATGACTAGAAGAAGTGGGGAAAATGCAAATGTACCTTTGACAAAGTCCAGTAAAATGTAGATCTATACTCTTTGCAAATGGATTTGAACCATATGAAAATCACATCTGTCATGCTTTTGTAAGACACAAGACATAGACGAATAGTTACTTCTGGATCTTTCAAATGATAGTACTTCCTTTCCCACAATGAGCCACCCATCACAATCAAATCGAAATGCTAAAATACGATTCGTTCATGTTGTCTATCAAATCATATTAGGTATGACACTTTTCTAAATACAAATTATAAATAAGTAACAATCTCAATCAAAACTACCAATAGCACATACAGTCTCTCGAGTTGATGGTATAATATTGAATCAAACCATCTTGCAAGTTTTCATCTAACCTACATCCTCAAGAACAGAACCACTATAATACTTCCACATACCATAGATTCCATATGCATACGATTCTATTTTATAAAAACACAGTAAAAGAGTTTAACTCGGTCTAATAATTACTTATTACACTCATTCATACAGCAGAACTTTTCTAACAATTTCTGCCAAAGACATTTTTGATTCAGACAATGCTGCACTGAGTCTAACCAAATGTTGGATGCATTCTAAAACCTACATAGCACCCACACTTCAAATTGTAGTTGTGTCAGATGTCCAATCCATATTATGTCCGACACGACACTAGCGCATTGAATTATTTTCAATCACTTTCATTTTCTCAAATTATGACACCCAGACAGACATGCCCTCAACCTAATAAACTTGCGTTCAAAAGACTCAATGATTCATGGGATTCTGCAATTCACACCAAGTATCGCATCTCGCTACATTCATCATAGTCTAAAACTCGTCAACATCATTCCATGTACAATAACACTAAGAAACTAGAAACAAATGAAATGAAATAAACAAATACACATGCAGAAATAAATCACATAACATTTGAAACAAGGTAAACATGATTTAAGAGGAAGATTTTCTAGTTCTCAAAAGAATACTTGTCATTCTAATTCCAATAAAAGTAATATTTCTAGAAGTAACAAACCTACAATTCCTAAACAACCGAACAACATCTCTCACCTCATGTGACCCACACTCCCCAACAAGAAGAAAACAAACACCACCAGGCCTAACAACCCTCTGCATCTCCGCCGCAAATCTCGCCGGAAACAGCGCCTCATCAAATCTGGCAGTGAATCCAAAATCAAACGCAGCGTCAAAGAACGGCAAATTATGCGGATCAGCCCGGCTCACAAGCGGCGGAGAGTCATACAGCTCAACACCAGTAACATCATCGACGCCGAGACTTTGCAACGCGGCGACTTCGTGACCGGCACCGGCGGACACGCAGAGGATCTTGGAGTGGTTAGGGAGGAGACCTAGATCGCGAATCGGGAGGAAGATGAGGGAGATGGAGTGGAGTTTGTTGTTCCAGTCGCGGGAGGACCAGAGACGGTTGTTTTTCTTGTCGGAGGGGAGGTGAGGGCGGGTGGAGGTGAAGTCGCAGGAGGATTTGGGGAAGCGGAGGTGGGGTTTGGGTGGGGCTTCTTGAGGGACGCAGGTGTCTGGGGTCCGGAGGAAGAGAGAGAAGAGTGTGAGTGAAGCTATGGCTATGGCGCCGTAGGAGAGTTTCTTTAAGAATGAGTCTATTTGGTTATCCATTGTGGTCGTGGTTCTGATGTCGTTTGATGCTTTCCGGATCTGTATATGCACATTTCTCAATTTCTCTTCTTGTCTTTCTCTTTTCTCTATCTTCAACTTAATATCACATTAATTTTAAGTACTTTTTTTAAATATGTTTCAACTTTTTTTATGTTCAACTTTATTTATTTATCATTAAAATTTAATAAAAGTAGGTATCTATATATTAATACTAAGAGAAAAGAGATGATGCACTAATAGTGTAAAATATTTTTACATCGTCAATTAAATCAATCGATCACTATCACGTATTCAATTAAATCAATCTTTTATTTACAAAAATAATAATAATAATGACATGACAGATTGATGGTTTCTATTAGATGACAGTGTAAAACTATTTTACATTGTCAGTGTATATCCATTAAACCCTAATACTAAAGAGGAGGTGTTTGTGGTGCTGTTTGGATCGGTTTGAGACAAAAACTCATTCGATTCAAAGATAAATTTATTCGCGATTCGGTTCGATTTTAGATGATATGTTAAAAATTCAATCTGATTCGATCCAATTTAATATGGTTTAATGACGTCTTGGACTTACATGAGGGTATTTCAGCTGTTTTCCGAACATAAGTCTCGGAAGCCTTTACTCGGGTTGTTTTTCAACTTATTTAACCTAGTTCGCACTTCTCAAAACGACTACCACAACCAAGGACTCATTAGCTTCCATAAAGACGACCATTGGTTTAATCATTTTACCCAGGATTGAGGCGCTTTTTGTTGGTGAAACCCCCTTACCCTAGAGGCTCATCTTACCTTTTGCCACTCCTCTACTGAATCATCTCGCTTCTGGAATAGAACATTTTTGAAATATTGGTATTTACAATACGCTTGGAGAACTAACTTGAGTGTTTTGCGTTTTATCACAGTTGTGGCGGATAGCAAGAGTCGCCCCCGACTTTTCTTTTATCCAATAAAGGAAATGGTGAAAAGAACAAGAAAGACCATTTGAGATATTTTCTTGGGTTCGGGGGGTAGGTTATGAAAAGGGAAGGTGTTAGCACCCTTTTCATCGTAGTTATCTACGGGCTCTTAGTTGCTTGATCACTTTGAAAATGCTTTGTTTGAAATGTGTTTGTGTTTGTGTTTGATGCAAGTTTGAAAATATTTTGAAAACGCCTTTGTTTCGAAAAACTTTATAATGATTCTCGTATTTATAAGAATGTATACAAAGTGTTGGTTTTGAAAATAGTTCAAAGAGATGTTTGTTTTTGAAGATGTTTTGAAAGTGTGAGTGCAGAGATGGTTTTATTTTGTGAGCAAGCAACTACGAGCGTCCTACCTACTCAAAAGGTCCTTGTTCTTTTCCTCCTCCTTTAGATATTGCTACCTTACCATTGATTGATAAGAAGCCTTATCTTTGGATGTGAAGGAATGGGTATGGGTCGTTGTATAGTCATAGAAGGCAACTTATGAGATGCTTTAGCAATTTTCATAGGGACTAAGATCGTTTTACCGAAGGCAACATCGAAGGGTCATCGAGGGACTACGATCTTCTTATTGAGGGTCTTTGCTAAAATGTCCCATATTTGAGGGACATGACTATTTATTCGTAGGCAACAAGCGAGGTTACCCTAGAGGTACGCGTGTGCGAAGTGTGTTTGGTTGCATGCATTTTTGTCTTTTGAGATTAGGGTTTTCTAACGGTTGATTTTATCTTACCATACACATCCTAATTACTAACAATTATATTAAAGCGGTAAATTGCGGAATTTAAAATCCTAAGCTATTACATCACTTGAGGGATAGGGGTACAATTTACAAAAGGGGATTAAGCATATGCCTAATTAAATTATTACACCCATATTGAATAAAGTAAATAGCACTAAAAAATATAAAAGGAAAATAGTGTACAAAGAAAGTAAAACAAACTTTATGTATTGACACATAGTTGCATGCATCGACACATGCCCTTTCCTGTTTCTGAAAAATCTAAATTGACTCAGTATGAGTCGACGCATAGTGGGATGTGTCGACTCATTCCACTTCCTGTTTCTGAAAAATCCCAAATCAACTCAGTATGAGTCGATGCATAATGGGATGTGTCGACTCATTTCTTGTTTGTGTCGACACATTCGTGTTTTGTGTCGACTCATGCACCTTTTGTCTTTCTGTTTTGGGTCTGATAGCAGTATGTACAGACATATAAGCCTTTGTGTCGACTCATACCTTATTTTGTCACTAAAATGAGTCGACTCATGTGAGGATGTGTCAACTCATGTTGCAGTTTTTTGCCTTAAACATTGTTCTATTGTATGTACAGATCAGTTCTCAACATAGTATTGACAGAAATGAACAGCAAGTAAATGGTTAGCTTCAAAAGGTAACGATTACTACATTTTATCCTCAAATATGAATCATTAATGATGCTTGAAATGAAAGGTTCAATAGTCAAGGAGACTTACCTTGAGACTGCAATTTATTTTGATGTCTAAACCTCTTTCTAGATGTTGTGATGGCTTCAGTGAACCTCCAGGATACTGCTCTAATCCTCCCTCTGTATTAGAAGTTACTGGACCACTCTCTAACTCAGTCAAATTATACAATACTGTCTTTTGTTTGGTGTTTGAAAGATGATGATAATGACACTATAGAAGTTGTTCTTGTGTTTGAACAATCTCTATGTGATATGAAGTGTTTGGATGGTTGATTTATGAGAGAGCTTGAAAATTGGAATAATGGGTTGAGGTTTTATTTTTGTGAATGAAGATAGAGCTGAAGATTAGCAGAATTTACAAGAAAAGTTTTGTTAGATTCTTTTTTCAAAACTCTCTATTCTCTCTCTAAAAGCCGCCCCTTTTATGTGTTGTGAAAAAAAAATTTGTAGATGAAGTTGGCTGAAGTTTGGGAAGGAAACAAATTAAATTTTGAACTTTTTGGGTATGTTGTTTCATAGGCTTTTTAGGAGCTACTCTTATATGCTAATTTGGTGCAAACATGGGACTAATATGATGCAGATTTTCAGGGCAGCATTGTAGGTTTTGGAGCAGACTGTGATATCATAGCAAGGTTGTTTTTGTGGATTTAGTCAAAGGGAAAAGTTTAAACAAGACAAGGCTTTAGGATTTGTAACTTAACAAATTCTAACTTAAAAAATGCAGTCTTATAAGAACTTGAATTATTTGTAACATCTTGAATTATTTTGAATTGTAGTGAAGAAAGATGTCTTGTGGTAATGAAATTAATCATGTATAGAAAATACTTTAAAAAAAATTCCAAGTCTTACCAAGTTTGATTTTTGACCTTCTTGATTTTTGATGATCAAATTTCATATTTTGAATGCCTTGATGAAATTTGATTTTCGAAACTCAAATTTGACCAAAAAGTCAAAGTTTGACTTTTTAGTGTACAATTGACTTTTTCATCAGTTGACCAAATTTCATCTATCAATCCACTGATCTCGGGAGGTGAATTGAAATATGAGACTAGGTCGAAATGATGCACTTAAATCCTTGAGATCATATTCCAAACCAATAAGTCATGTACTAGGTCAAAAGTCAAAGATTGGTCACTCTCAATCAAAACCCTAATTTGGAATCTCAGTACTTCGGAGATGATTTTGTCTGATCAATTCCTTGAGAACCCTTGAGCATTAGAGATCCTCTGTAAGGAATGTCTTGAGAAAAAAGGGAGGGCAAATTTTAGGTACAACAGCTGCCCTTGTTCAATCTTCTTGAACCTGATGAATTAGATTGGCGGGTCCGCCATTCGTGACTTGAAGGTGGAAGATGATTGAACACTAGAAAAATGTGCAATTGATGATGTATTGCTTGATTGTTTCAGGAATGGACTTAGAGATTCCATTTGGAGAGGTGATGGAGAGTAGTCAGAGATGAGCTTACAGATGCCATATGGAGTGACTATTGGTAGAAATTGGAAGAAGTATCAGAATAAATATTTGGTCGATTTAATCTGAATGATATGCTGGAATGGACCAGAGTTAAGCCGTGTCCAGAAACGACCCATGTTGGATTGCTTCAGGATGAACCCGTGTGAAATTGTATCTGTGTAAGACTGCTTCAGGATGAGTCCGTGTGAAACTGCATGTGGAAATGTACGAGAATGAGCCTGTGTAGGACTACTTCGGGATGAGTCCATGTGAAACTGCATCTAGAAATGTACGAGAAAGAGCCTGTGTAGAGCTGCTTCGGGATGATTCCGTGTGAAACTGCATATGGAAATGTACGAGAAAGAGCTTGTGTATGGATGCTTCGGGATGAGTCCGTATGAAATTGCATATGAAAATATACGAGAATGAGCCTGCGTAGGGCTGCTTCGGGATGAGTCCGTGTGAAACTGCATCTAGAAATTAGAAGGAACCCATGTAAGATTGTTTCTTGATGAGCTCGTGTGAAGTTGCATCTGGATTTTAGAAGGAACCCGTGTAAGATTGCTTCTTGATGAGCCTGTGTAAAGCTGCATTTGGATATTAGAAGAAACCCGTGTATAAGATGGTTTCTCGATGAGCCCGTGTGAAGCTGCATCTGGAAATGTACGAGAAAGAGCCTGTGTATGGCTGCTTTGGGATGAGTCCGTGTGAAACTGCATCTGGAAATGTGCAAGAATGAGCTTGTGAAGGGATGCTTTGGGATGAGTCCGTGTGAAACTGCATCTGAAAATTAGAAGGAATCTGTGTAAGATTGTTTCTTGATGAGCTCGTGTGAAGCTACATCTGGATTTTAGAAGGAACCCATATAAGATTTCTTCTTGATGAGCCCGTGTGAAGTTGCCTCTAGAAATTAGAAGGAACCCATGTAAGATTGCTTCTCGATGAGCCCGCGTGAAGCTGCATCTGGTCGCATAGATAGTTGCTCTATCTTGCTTCAGGAACTAATCTTGGACCTGTTGAAAATTATTAATGATAATTATCTGTTGATTGATCTTTCTTGAAAAGGTAAAGATTTAGTTATATGCAATGTCATGATGTATGAAATGTATTGTGTAATGATGTTCTAAAAAAT